GAGTTCTGAGAAATGTGTCATTGGGTGACTCCATTGTTGTGCCAATATCAGAGTGTAATTAGTCAGGCAGAGTGTAATTAGATGGTTATGTGGGACCACTCATATATGTGGGCCATCATTAACTAAAACATCATTAAGTAACACATAATTGTGCATTCACTATCTCCAGGACAATTAAAAATTATTTGATATACAAGAACAAAGAAAATATGACAAGAAAAGGACAGTCAACAGGTTTTATTTATCCCTCACTGACTCTGAAATTGTAAAACAGGGAGTTTAAAAGAAGGTATTTCCAGATGTGGAATATAGAGAAACCAAACAATGAGTGAGATAAAGTCAAACTTAAAAACTAACCCTTGAAAGCAGGCCATAGAACTGAGGCATCCAGGGAGAGAGGTGGGAGGAGCATAAGACAAAATGGGGAGAGAATGAATGGACTATGGCAGCAAACGAGGGCAGTTGTGGTGGTGGGTGTCCCGCACTGCACCTGGTGGAGGGGGAGGGTATGTACTTACAAAATACTATCAACTGTGTAAACCAATGGTACTTTGATAACAGTTTTTAAAAAGCAGTTATTCTGTGTTCAACAAATAAAGGGAATTAAATGGAAGTGTAAAAAAAACTAAATGAAAATATGAAAAATGAAAAAAATCTAAAATGAAAAGTTCATTAAACTCAATAGAAAGGAGAGGAGAAAGAAAAGAATTAGTGAAACTAAAGATAGCTCACTAGAAATAACCCAATCTAAAGAAAGAGAAAATGTGCAAAATGAAGAAAAAAGTTTTTTTGTTTTTTGGTTTTTTTTAAATGGAACATTCAAGATCCTGTGGAACAGCAGCAAAATGTTTAACATAGCACCAACTGGAGTCAGAGAGAAGACAGAATAAGATAGGAAAAGCATTTGAAGACATGGTATAAAAAACTTACCAAGTTTGGTAAAAGACACACACACACATAAGCCTAGGCATATCATAGGCACACTGTGATAATTTCTTATAAGCAGCTAGAGAAAAATGACATATAACATATAGAACAACTATTTGCATAACCATGAACATCATTGAAAACTATGGAAAGAGATGAAAGAAGAGAAAAAAGAGGAAGGATAAAATTTAATGCCTATTGAGCCAGATAATTAGGTCTGTACTTTCCAAAATGTGAATTTCATACCCTTAGGAAATCGGTGTAGTGGGTCACAACCAGAACATTTTAAAACTGAAAGAGAATAGGATAGTATAGAATAGAAAATCATCAGGGAGCTTCTCAAATAATAAGGTTAAATATTGTTACCTGAAACTATTATTTGGGTTATACACACACACACACACACACACACACACACACTCACATATGTATAATGCATTCTAATAAAAAAATACAGTTATCCCTACAGGTGACAGTAAAAGGAAGAAGATGTACATCACTATATTATTTATCATCATAAAAACCTTTGCACATGGTTCATTTTGCAAATGAAAACAAAACTCTGTTTAAGTTAAATGATTTGTTCTTGGTCATATTGCTGGTAAGTACCTGAGCCTAAATTTAAAGCCAATCTATTAACTCTACACAACTTTTTGACTGCTTTCAAAATATGCTTTTGTGACTTTTGGCCTGAGGAAGAGCAGACACACTCAGTAAGCAGATACACCATGGGGGCTTTGAAGTCATGGAGGAGAACCTGCATTTCCCTTCCCCCATGAAAGAGACCTAGAATGATTTTCCAGCCATCAGAAGCTACTGTATCTACTGCTCCCTCCAACAGAAGAGATACAGTTCATTTTAAAAGTCCCATGACGCATAACCATGCTCTGTTCATTGTTTCCTGAATACTGATTGAACTAGATCTTATTAAACAAACTATTTGCATGTTTTGAATACTTTGGCTAAAAGATAAGGCATTCAGTACAATTTCATTAATAGAATTCTCTTTATCTCTCCCAATTACTTTATCTTTCACATAAAATATCTTTTGTCTTCATTATACCATTGACATTGTGCTTGTTTCTTGTGGAAACAATATAACTTAACTTCTGAAAACAGATCAAATCAGTCAAATTCTTGGCAATGCTTGAGGAGAAAGGATATTCTTGTATCTAACTTAAGGATTGATACATAAGCTGAAAATTGTTTGAAGAGATGTGAGGACAGGATATTTGATAAATATGGAAGATTTCAAGGAAAATTGAGATGCTAGATTGTTTATAAATCTATTGTAGTCTTGATTTAAATTGGTTATGAATGTTTTTTTCCTAAAAAGTGAATTTACACATAAGGAAATTCCTGGGGACACAGTAAACCTCAAACAGCCCAACAAGCCAAGAATTTCAAATATAGATAAAAACAATTTGAAGACTGAGTACTAACAATCTGTTGGCAAGCTAATAAGGAATGCAAATCTGAGGAGAACTAACTGGTGAACCTAAGAAATGAATTAGGTAAAAACACAACAAAAAAGAAGAGCGACGTTCTTTGACTCTGTATCTGAGATGTTCAGTTAACCCATGTTATTAATGACGACAATGATGTGACTTGGGGTGGTATAGCACAGATCACAAGACTTGCTTTCTTTTTATATCAAGAGCCATATATTTTTATGCCACTGCTTGTTTTACAATTTTTTTTCTGAAAAGTGAAATGTCAGTGTATCTCTCTATGTACTCTCTTCATTTACCACTTATCTCATAAGATATGTCAGAAGTGGGAACATCAGATGTGTTGGTATGCCCTAGAAGATGATTAAGGTATAATCAGAGATAGATTTTTGTAACATTTTAATAGTGAATTCTTTATTACTATTCTTTATTACTATTTAGCAAACACATAGTGTTCACAATCGGTTGAGTATTTCTAAGTGAACTTGCAAGTACCTCTACTCTTCCAACAACTCTGTGACATTATCATTATCATTATCATTGCTCTCACTTTAGACAAAGAAGAAACCTAGAGACGAAGTAAATCATTTAATGTCGTATCAGTCTTCTCTAGCATTTATCCCCCAGACTCCAAAATGCCAGTTACTCCCCGAGTAACTCCAAAATGCCAGTTACTCCCTGCTCTTTTGACTACAGGCAAAAGGTTGATAAAACATCTCTCCACCCCTACCTCTGAGGTGGTTAGCATGCTGTCCTGAACTATATGGGTATGATTCCTCTTCTAAATTCCTCCCAAACAATTTATTACCCCAAAGTCTATATGGCAACTATCAACACCAACACAAGTGTATTATTTCTATACTTTATTTCCCTCAGTATAGCAGTGATTTATTTTAACTATAGCTCCTTAACTGTGCTTACTTACAGAATGTAGAACTTGATCTCATTCCTGTTTTCAAGCTAAAAACAATTTTTTCTTTTGTATGTGGAGCAATTTTATAACCTGTTATAGAATTCGTTGTTGCCACTTCTGTCATCTTCCTTCAGATTACAGACATAACAAAATGAAGGGAAAGAATAGTAAGACTCAGATAAGGATCTGTATACTGAGGAAAGGATCCAGTTTTAGAAATACACTAACACCATTTTCAGTATTTCATACATCAAATTTGGATCCTTTTAAGAGCCTGAATATACAAACAAAAAGACAACGGCCAGACCTTATATGACAATAGAAATCTGACTCATAACCTCCAGAATCATCTGTACAGAAGTCAACATCTCTGTAGCAGACAGGGAAGAGAATAGTGTTTATCAGAGACAGTCAGCTTCTCTAGTTCTTTCCCCTACTTCCAGCTCAGGACTGACTAGAGAAAGTCAAATATGTTCCCCCATACAACTACGCAGTGTACAAGGTTCTTGACCCAAACCCAACATGAATATGTGTAGACTTCCCCACAAGAATAATCAATTTCCAGGTTCCAGCAGCATATGAAATAATCAAATAACTTAACTCAATTTGATACAATCTGGAGATAGGATCAGATTTCACAGGTAAAGGCTTTAATCTCCTAAAACCACCCTCTACTTCAGATGTCAGTCACAGATTGTTACCTGTGCTTCTAAATTACTATAAATAAAAGGTTCCTAGGAGTCCCTCCTCAGGCTCAATTAATTTGATAAATCTGTTCACAGAATCCAGGAAACTCACTTACTCTCTAGATCACAGATTTCTTACACAGGATGAAACTTAAGAATGGCCAGATGGAAGAGAGGTGTATAGCCAAGCATAAGGGAAAATTCTCCCCAAATATTTACATTTTTATCAACCCAGAAACTATCTGAAGTTCCTCCTTTTGTGCCTCCATGGAGGCTTCATTACAAAGGCCTGACTCACTGGTGATGAGCCCAATCTTCAGCTCTCTCCCTGCCTCAACTGTCAGGGTATGGGAATTAAGTTCCAACACTATTTACTTGCTTGGTTCTCCTGGGAAACCAGCCTCCATCTTTAGGCTTCCACAAAAGCCACCTTTATACCTTGGGATACTTTGATCACTTTCAGGGAATTCTAGGGCTTTGGGAGCTATGAGCGAGGAACTGTGGATGAAAACCAAAAATGCTTGAGATATACATTTCATACAAATCAAAACTTTGCTCATAGGATGTTCTGCTTCTAGTGAACCTGCCTAATTCCCCCAGGCCTACAACACTAGCCATAGCATACTGGAAGCCTTCCCTTATTCATCCACCATAAAGCTATCCTAGGCTTACCTTTGAGTTTCTGTCACATTCAAGTGATGATGGCTGACTCACCTGCTATGGCAACCCTGTCCTCATTTTTGTAGTCTTTATTTCCATATTCTCAAGGAAAATGAATGTCCTCTTGCTCTATTTGCCAAAAGATTGATTACTTTATTAGTTTCTTATTGTTCAATGGTGTTCATAGGTATGTGTTTAAGGGTCAATTGTAGTAGTATTAGTTTGAAAGTTTCTACAGTTATAAGTGGTTTTATAAGTATCTGTTTCATCATTGCCTTAAAATATTTTTGCCTCTTGATACTTGTAATTGGCTGCATTTCCCCTGCTGAGTAACATGCAAAAATGAGGGAAACAAACCAAAGATATTAAGGAGAGTTTTATTGTTAAGATAGATAGGATCTACAATTTTACTTCTATTCTTCAAGTCTACAAAAACTCTCAGAGTAAAGTTTTATTTATGTCTGTCATACCAGCAGACATATTATTTTAAATTGAGAAAGGGAAAGTTTACTTCTTGCCAAACTGAGGAAGAGGCGGTGGCACCTTAATATCTTGACCTCTCTCCAACTTCTTTTCACAATCCACCAGGTAATTGACTCCATCGATGACTATCTGAACAAGCTCAACCTTTGATAATGAAAAAGATGATTAATTTGCATAGAAGGCACATGCAATGCACTGATTGATCAATAATAATAATATGGGGACAAAGAAGACTTGTCACATTAGATGGAATTTATAATACACTTTTCCTTTGCATTATTTCCCTAAAGATTTTACAAGAAGAGGTGTCTAATGGTCCATTGTCAGAGATGGGAAACACAGAAATTAAGGTGTTACTTTCAATCTTTAGTTAAGATGGGGTTACTACTCTGTGTGAGAACTTTATATACACCTATATACACACATATATAAACCATTAACCATTAACATACATACATATACATATGCATACATATGTGTATACACACACACACACATATATATTAAATCATATATATATATAAACCATCCCAGATACTTTTTCCTCTGCTGAAATTTTTCCAAAAAAGTAGAACTACACAGAGTCACCCCTATGTTATTATTTGGCCTGAATTTAAATTTTGTGCTAAATTGCTTGAACACTGAATGTAGTTGAGATACTATTTATACACTGAATGTCTTTCTGGAAAATTATTCACAATCAACTGGTAATTAAATCACATTTTCACTGTAAAGGCAAGTTTGCCACTTAAAGGAACATTGTGACTTCTATTGAGATGAACATTTTAAAATTCCCACTTTTTAAAACTGTTAGAATTTTGGTTTAACAAATGTTTGTTCTGCTTAAACTAAAGCACCTCTACCTATGATTTCTTTTTCCTGGAATCACCTCCCAAATAAATTATTTGCACTACTCCTGACAAAAACACCCACATATGTGATTGATTTCAGATGGTATTAAAATATATGATATATCTTGAGAATGAAAACTGGAAAACATACCTTAGGCATGATGGAGACCAGGCCCCTCCTTGAGAAATGGTTGGGTTATTATTACTCAAAAAAACATATTTTCAATGTCTGGACCTATCCATCTAAGTGTTAATAGGGTACAGTGAGATGGGTTTCACATTCACCGCCAGTGAGACTCTATTTTGGTATAATTGTCTAGTAGGAAACTTAGTCATAATAACCCCTCATCTCATTGCAGAATTCCCTTCCAAGAACTATATCCTAACTAAATAATCAGAGTTGTGATTAGAATTTTGTATGGAAATGGTTAGAGTAATGTTAACTAAATACTAAAGAGAAATGTTAACTAAATACTAAACTATCTTCACTATGCTGTCATTAAATATATGTTTGAAGAATAATGTGGGGAAAGGTTCATGGTAGAATGCATTGGGGAAAGCTGAATGTCAGATACTAACACTTTTATTTTAAAAGTTTTATGAATAATTTTATGAATGGAAGGCAATTAGAATAATGTTCACAACGGTTACCTCAGGATTGATAGATTACATATGTAGTTTTGCTATTTACTACTTTGAGCATTTTTCTACCTACTAACTTATAGTTAGACTTTAAAAACATCTCTAGAGGTATCTACCTCATTTTCAGTAATAAAAGTCTAGTAATATTAGGAGCAGAGAGGGCTAGGTTCTAGATGCTCTTTACTCATCACACTGCACATTATTCAATAAACTTTAGAGGTTTTTTGTGATATTTAAAGACACATTTCAAATGCTTTACTAAGGCTGCTGACATAGAAGCTGAGAATATTTTCTCCTTTCCTTTATTGGCACAGATACCAACAGGACTGAAATATCCAAATGCAGACAGGGAAGAAAAGGCATTGACAATGAACAGATCTATGAGAAACAACTAAGCTAGTAAGAACTGTATGTTAAATTAATGATGGCCATAATATGTTCACTGGGATCACACTCAGAAAATTGTATTTAATAGGATTCAACAGCCTGTTCCCTGAGTGAGTTCTTTATATTTCATCTCACACATGGCTACAGATCTTTATATAGTTCATGGCCAACCCTGAGCTAACCGTTGTGAACATTATCCTATACAGCATATGTACAGTATTCACAATACCTTAGATATTATTTTATGAGCATAAACTTATGTATACATGTCCATACTGTGCTTGCCATGTTCAGCTCTAACAATAAAATTTTAGAAATTTTCAAATATCTAAAAGTGTCAAAGAGAGGATAAAAGTATGTGACATTCACCAGAAGAAATTCAGAAAATTCCACTATTTTGCCACCCTTACAGGGATACTACACATATTCTCTGACTTCACAGCTGTAAAGTACTGCTGTCCTTTAGCATCATGGAGCTTCTGCTGCTCAGGTCTCAGGACAGTTCTGGGAGCAGGGTGTGGTAAGAGTCCCACTGTGAGTTCCTTTACGTGCCTATACATCCATCCTCAGCTTGCTCGGTGCTTTCCCTGATGTAGCTTAACAATGTTTCAGTCAACAAGGCCGCATATATGAGGGTGACCACAACGGACTACCCCTTACACATGGGTGTGTAGGAGGCTATACCACCTCGGTTGTCACTGTACTCCATGACGTTCACACAACAGAGAAAACACCGAATGATGCCTTTCTCAGAACATACCTTCACCGTTAAGTGATGCATAATGGTACGACTGAATGAGAGGGTAACAGGATTCAGTGGGGAAAAGAAGGTCTTGAATATTGTAAATAAAATAAGACCCTTTAGGCTAGTTTTCCACCCCCTCTGTCTCTAAGGTGACAATTAGTTCATGTTTGGAAAGCGAGGGAGTTATTACCTCTGATCGACCGATCCGATCTATGTTTGAAATATCGTAGATGTCAGCCACTGCTGCGGTGTCCACACCACCTGTGCCACGCTTTTGGAGTCTTAAGTTCTCCAGGATCTTAGAAAAGCGTGGATCCTGGGACAAGGGATAATACTCAATGTTGTAAGAAGCAAAACCAATTTCACCATCATCTTCACATTCACTTAGAAAAGAAGTGTAATGAAAAGTGGAAACAGTTAATACTGACTCAGCAAATAGTTACTATGTACCAGGACACTGGTGAAAGTTTTAAACCTTACAATTCCATGAAATAGGAAACTAAGGCTCAAAGGAATTAACATGCCCAAGGTCAGAAAGCTAGGAAGCTAGAAGTTAACAGAGCTGTTATTAACTTCTATACTGTTTTTTTTTTTTTTTTGTATTCAGATACCAGTTTGGATGAGTTTGTTACCATCTGTATAACAATAGTCATTGATGTAGTTAAAATCATGACTTTAAATTATATCAAATAAATCATATGTTAAGCACTGAATAGCAAAAAGTTAATGACTTTTATTTTGGGTAAGAAGCACATTTTCCAAAATTGTCTTGCAGTATTTGTTTCACTGCTGTGTTGTGGCAGAAACTATTAGTTATGCACCAGAATCCTTTTTCTTCATCAACACAGGTAGAGCCGAGAAATGACCACTGGCTCAGTTCTCACTGATGGAATGAGCAGAAATGACATGTGCGACTCCAGACCCAGAGCTCAAATCTTTAAATGGAGACATCTACACAGTCTCTCCCCTTCTGCCAAACTGGAACATGGGACCTCACTGTGACTGTATCAGGGGGAAAATGTCCTATGAGAGGGGTAGAGGGGTCTTCTAGGTATGACTCCGAGATTAGCAGGTTTCAGCACCTAGGACCTTGTAAAAAAAAAAAAAAAAAAAAAAAAAAGCAAATTCTGGAGGTGGCCTAGCAATCTATGGCTTTTCAAGCCTCCAGGGATTCAGATGCAGGTTCAAGTCAGAGAATCTCTGCACCAGGAGAGAAAGAAAGGAGATGGGAGGTACTACAGGGAGCAGAGCTTGCGTTCCTATCTGCTCATATGACAGAGAATTTAAATTTCTTGTTCTTGAAGTTGCATCCTTTTCTTACAAATCTGAACTTTTGATCCTAACTGATATGAATACTTCAGAGGCAACCCTAAACATTTCCCATTATTTTCTATCACAGATGCAGAAAATAAGCATTAAGGAATGGCAGTGCCATTTTCTCCCTCCACAAAGCAGTCAGTCAAAGCGGATCCAGGCAGAACCCAACAGGGATGCCAGCTATGTGATGTTACCTTGCTGAGCTTTGGGATCTTAACGTGGACACCAGCCCGTAATCCTGTGCCAAGGTTTGAAGGACAAGTGAGAATATATCCTAGGCGCTCATTCCACATGAACTCCCAACCTCGCTCTTGGATTAACCGTTCTACCTACAACAGGAACAGATGACAGAGTTCTCAAATATCCATTCATTCAGCAACCCAAACACCAGGGAGATAAATTTGAATTATGTGTTTACTATGGATGAAATTTCGGTAGATTTACAGTTCTCCTTCAATAGAAAATAACAACTATCAGAATATGAAGATTAAATTAGATGAACCATGTAAATCACTGAACACAATACTAGCAAGTACTAAATAGTCAACAAGTGTCAGTTGCTATTTATTATTTTTCATAACAGGATAGTAGGACATTATAGAAATTCTCAGCATGTAAGTTACTATGCGCTCAAGTTACTATGAACACTTTAGTCACCTCTACATTGTCCTTATGCCTAGAAGAGCCAACAGCAATGTTAAAGAAGCCAGAAAATAACTGATGATACACACTTTCCCAAACCATTCTGAATTGGAAAAGGAAGCATAAGATCTTGCTAATAACAAAAGAGTCACCTCGCTTTTGAAGCACTGACGTGGGGGTGCCATCCAAAAGGTATAATGATCTCAGACTGTATCAGCCCCACGTTGTTAGTCACCAAAGCGTATTTTTTCAAGAATGGAAAGTAGATGATAATTATTTTAGGGAATATTCAGAAATCTCTAATAACATCTTACTTCTTTCAGTCCACGACAGAATCGCTCAAACACTCTTTTCATATTGCCTCCCTTTTCCATAGAGATTACCCTGGTGTGGTCTTCTTCATTTATCCAGATGAGAAATGTCTTGTCATAATTATGCCTAATGAAGAGAGAAATATGATATTGAGTGTTAATTACATTTGTTTCAACACATGAAAATTCCCATTACCTCTGTAGTTTGATTGCTTCATTTCACCTTCCTCATTTTCTAGATGGTCCTAATCTCTTAATTGTGCTTGAACAAGTATTACAAAATAATATTGCCTTGACAGAATAATGTGTAGATAACTCTAGGCTGTAAAAATGTCATGTTTTTGCCCAACAAGAATATAAGCTCGTTCCTCAGGCTGGGAGAACTGGGATAATAATAATTCAACTATGACAACATTTTGTTTTGACACTAACGAAAATATTTTGGTTTTTGATAATTTTAACCAAAATCTTGTGGTGCTTAAAAATAAACAAAAAGATTGTACCACAGTCCTAGATGTTTGGGGTACAGGAGATTTTACATATGTTTGCTAAATAGATCCTGCCTATCCACCCCCTCTGAACAGCTGTTCCTGAATATTTTTATCCCAGCTCCTTCAGGTAGTGTCATAATAACCTACCAACATACAGGAATCAAAGTGGACTGAGGACTGTTAGCCAAGCCAAAATATGTGTACACTTGATATCCATTCTTCCTTATAGGCTTGTGCTTAAATCCTCAATGTTTATTTTCCATTTTCTGCTCTGTAAATGTCATGAAGCAGATGTTCTACAAGGTCAAGTAATATAAAGCTAATTTTTCTTAAAATATAGTCTTTTTTTCTCATGCATAATTCATGCAAACCAGTGAACATTCCTACACATCTTAGAAACACCCCCCCCCACACACACACACACTCAATCTCTAAGTACTCTCTCTGCCCCATTCAGCTCAAGCTGAACATGCTGTAAAGTGCAGGCCACGGCAACGTCATGTTAGAATAAGCAGGCCATCGGAAGACAATCCTCTGCACACATGGCAAATCTGAAAATGCTATAACCATACCAGATTCCCCTGGCATCTGGCCAGTCACGGGCCATTCCAGCACATGTTAGTAAAGGGGATACTGGCTTATCAAACAGAAAGTGGTCCTGCAGGCCAAACGGGACAAAACAGAAAGAGAAACTGATGAGACCAGAAAAAATAGCAAGTGCCAAGTGGTCAAATTTCAACTTGCTAATAATGGCTGAGATTTTTTGGGCAGTGGTTTTCAGTTCCAACTGCCCACTAAAATAAACTTTTGATTATTTAATAAAAACAAACAAACAATCAAACTAATGTCAAGATCTCATCCCGCAGAGCTTCTGACTTAAATTATGATGGTGTGACCCAGACAGTGGCATTTCTAAAAGCTCTGTGGGTGGTTCGGGTGGTTTGACTGTACAGGTAAGTTGAAAAACACTGGCTTGGCCGAGATGGAGGTGCTGGTATGGACTCTATACACTCCACTACAATGGCAGAGTGACGATAAGTGGGGGGACACTTTATTACAAAGTTTTTTCCACATAGCTGTCCTCCTCTATTGCTGTCAGTACTGGTTTATTTATCATCATTCCTTCCATTAAAAGATGTTAGAGATGTGAAATAATTATTTAGGAAAAAAAGTAGTCACCATGAAAGCTTTCTATATGCCAGGTTCTATGTATACTGCATATTTCTACTTCCCTTTATCCTCATTAGCAGCACTTTGAGGTAAGTACAATCATTATGTTTCACAGATGATGAAAGCTGGGATTCTAATCTATCACACAGAGGAAGTAAGAGAGCCTAGACTCAAACTTAGACCTCTATGATTCTCAAGCTTGGCTTTAGCCAATGCAACATACACTCTACAAATCAAAATCAGTATTATGAGACTAAGTTGTTTTTTTTTTTTTTTGTAACTTGTATGTGCACAGTAAAAGTATGAATAGGACACCATACATTCATATCTGATGACACTGAGGTAGAAAAATCAAGAGAAAATAGGGAGAAGAGTCTTTCTACAAATTAAGTTGACAAGGATCAATCAAGACTTGAGCGCTGTGAACTGTCACTATCAAGGAGCCAGAAATGGCTGCTTACGGTAGGGGTGGGTGAGGGCAGGGAAGGAGGGGACTTGCTCTATCACCGCCTGGCCTGATGGCTGCAGAGATGAAGAGACTGAGGCCCACAGAATATACAGCTGCCCTGTCTGGTTTGGAAATGAGGTCTGTTTTGTGGCGTTGCAACTTCTGAAATGAGGGAAACTTGTCTGCTTGAGTTTAGTGGAAGTTACTTTTGAAAATGCCATCCTGCTTCCCCCTGCTGTGGAGAAGATCAGTGACAGACTCAGGCTTTGTCTATTCTAGTGCCGGAGTGAGCGTGGAGGACACACAGAAGCAGCAGCAACTCCAGCGCTGTCTGCAGCGTGAGTCGGACAAACTCGCTGCACTTCCTTTCCAGATTTTCCTAGTTTCCAGGACTCCTTTGGATTTGGTAATAGACCTTCCCGCATGTACAGATAGGGGTTCTATACCTGAGCAAGCACAGCCTCCATTTGGATCACCCCAAATACACTGCTCTCCAGCCCACCCACTGCCTATAGAGTTACCTATGCAGATTTTATCCAAAGTCTATTTCTGTGGCTTTAAGTTTTAAAGCCTCATCTTCCTTCCTTTTATTGAAAGGGCTGATGTCTGAACCTGGCAGAGCAAACCCCTGAGCTCTGGGCCAGGCCACCCTTGAAGCTCAGAGTGGTCTGGGCATCCCCCCTCTGGCCATTCAAGGTCCCCCACTCACATCGATAAGCCTCTGTTGATCCTGCTCCGTCATCTCCGACAGCTTGTAGTAGCGGCCAGCCAGATCTCCCTTGAGGCCCTCCAGGGCTGTGATGGCCACATTCTCCACCTCCCTTCGCTCAGCCCGGGTGCAGGCCGGTGGCAGGCTCAACCCGCGGATGCTGCGGCCCGTGCGCACCCGAGATGACAGCACATAGCGCTCATCAAACAGCCCATGGGTGATCTGCAAGCAGAGCACTGGGTCACAGGCGATCAGCCGCAGGCCACAGTCTGGCCATGCCACACGGGTTCCAACCTACTGATATGCAGTATAGCCTGCCGGTGCTGTGCACGCTTGCAGAACGGACGTGCAGGACCTTAGAGATAAGGGCAGAGCTACTTTCCACAGTACCATCTGGAGTCCTTCCCCACACTAGGCTTCAGAGGAAAAAGGAATTGCTTTAGGAAAGATCAAGTTATTGTCACTAACAGTACTCTACTGGTACTTATTAAAGGGGCAAAGACTGCTGGACCTTCCTGACCTCAGTGGCCCTCCAGGGAGGATGCTGTGCTTTCAAGGGCATTCCCGGGTGTTCCTCACCTTGGACTTTGGAGTGCCAGCTTCATGGGAAGGGGCTGCAGCTTACCTTGGAAGCATCCAGATCCGTGGGGTGCTTCATCACCTTGGGGTCATAGCCATTGTGCCTGAGCTTGATGACGGGGTCAAAAAGCTCAGCAAATACCTGCAAGAGAGAATGTGCTCCTGTTTATTCTTTATTTGGTCCATCTACTACTTAAAGGTAAGTCCTTTCCCTTGTCCTTTTTATTCATGAGTGTCAAAGCAGATGACATATCTCTCTTGAAATTATCAGTGCGAACATTATCAGTGCGAAGTGGGTGTGAAAGTGGATCATAGATGGTGATGATGATGAGGATGGATACAAGCTAGACCACAGAAAATCTCTTTGAGGAGCCTTGCCACTTGGGAGAGGCAGGACTGCAAAACTGCCATCTTAAACATCTTACCTCATGAATCTGCTCAGCTTACTGCCATCACATTGAGCAAGAAAACATTGTTTAAGGACTAGAGGGTTTCCCTAAGAAGTTTTTGTCTTTGTGGCATAAAAGAAGTTGTCAGATCAGAGGCTAAGTAGTTTTGACAGAAGGTTTTTGAGTTTAAAAATTTGTGGAAAGTTGACTAGATCAAAGTGCACAGCAGCAGCTAGGGCTAAACCAGACCCCTACACTATTGAGGAACTTCCCCAGCTCAACTCTCTTGTGTAAACTATATTTTTTTACAAAACAAAAATATCAGGAGATCCAGGTAAAATAACATTTTAAAAAGTCATAAGAGAGCAACCCTGCAGACTACAGGAACTATGAGAGTGAGGATGGAGAGTGTTGAGTCAGGGAGCCAGCTCTAGATGGACTCTAGGAACCCTGAGTTGCTCACCGCTACCAAGGTGGCCCCCTCCCTCCTCTTGGTGGCTGCCTTCACAGACAACTGCCTTCGACTCCCTGCATCAGAAGAGCATAGAGAGTGGACCTAAGCGGGTTGGGCTGCAGGTGTTTGCCACAACTAGAGACTGTTCCAGGAAAGGTGCCATCGAAGCTGAGCTTTGCTCTTAGAAGAACCACCCTGTACTTCTGTACTGGGGAGGGTGCAGGAGATTATGGGATTTCTCACAAGAGATGTGGCGAATTCAGCAGTCTGGGCTATAATGGCTATATAATCAGTAATTCTCAAACTGAACACACATGGAATGAAGACAGGAAGTGGTAGGGAGGGACCCAGGGACAAAATTTTGCTGTTCCTGCACACTGATAAACAAGAGGCTAAAAAAGAGAGAGAAATGAATGTAATCAAGTAAAAATGAAAACAGTGAACAACTATAAACCAGAGACATTTTATGGGGGTGGAAAAGGGAATGTGATCAGAACTGGGGCGGGAACAGTTGTATGGGACTATGGTGATGGCACTCGGGTGAATTGGTTATGGGAAGCCCATGGAGATTATAACTGAGGTGGAAAGTGCACAAAATGAGAAATGATTAAAAAAACAAACAAACAACAACAACAAAAAAAAAAAAACAAAACTAATGACTCTAGGCCTGAATACCGGTTGACAAAAATTTTTGTGGCCTATTCTATCTTTTCACTAATTTTTCCCTCAGTCTGTGCATTCCTAAGCTATCTTTCCATAGCTTGACAGGTTGGCTCCTCTGGGAAATGGGGAGTTATAGGCCCAGAAGAAGAGTCACAGAGTTGATATCAGACTTGTCATCCTGGAGCTGCGGGCAGGCAGCCTCCACCAGATGGTCACCTTAGAGATGTCACCACCACCACTGAACTGCAGCTGATGGGCACTCACAATTAGCAACAACTAATGGTCTTTGGCCATGTTCATGCTCCTTGCTTTCTTAGGCAGTAAAATTGAATTCCTTAGTTCCTGAACCCCCTTCCTAAAGCCTAAATAGACCCCTACCCCCAGCACCTTAGAGAGTTTCATGACCAGCGAGGTCTTTCCAGAATGTTCTTTCCTTGTCCTCATGCTAGTAAATAAACTCTGACTCCTTGCCTGCCCTCATTGGTGTGTGTGTAGATTCCTTTTTGCAATCCCAACCACAGACTCTTAGCAGCCCTTTCCTGGACTTGGAAGCAGGGTCCCTCACTTTATCCCTCTGATTTCTAATGGGTAGAACAGTGGACAGCACCTAGTTCCCACCCAGCTTTCTGAGAGTGTTGTGGGATATGGGGTCAGGGCAAAGGACCCATGGACATTTCCTGCCCAGTGACAGAAGTATCCTCTTCCTTCAGTAAAATCCAGCCATAAACATATTGCTTCCTAATGCTTCCTGGCAAATGTGCATCACCAATAAAACAAACCAAAAAAATATTTTTTTTCTGTACTAATCTAAAAATTCTGTCATGAAGCTCATTCCTTCATGAGGAGAGTTAATAGAGCAGCAACAAAGGAAGTCCTTCTCTTGGGAAGTTGCAGACTTTAAGCATCCCAGATGTTCTATAGCAATTGCTTCCCTTCTGGAAATGCTTCCCGAGAAGGCAAAAAGCTGGCTTCAGAGAACAGAGAAAAAACACTGGGACCAAGTGCAATCCCCCATTCTGGACCCTGCAGCTCACAGCTTTACCTCATAGGACTCCTCGTCACCAGCCACCATGCCTACAGTCTTTATGAAGGGGTGGCCGGGGTTGTCCACTCCAGTCTGGATACACTGGTCCAGCGTGTAGCCATTGGGTGTTGCCTTGTTACGTAGCTTGGCGTAGATGGACGGGGTGAGGCACTCTGCCATGCAGTTGTTGTGCTTGCGCAGATCCGGGTAGTCTGCACTGCAATCAGGAGAGGGAATTTCAGAGAGCAGTCCCAGGGATAATGGGTCTAAGACAGGACTTAAGGTTCTAGTTATCCTTCCACCAGTCTCTTCAGGGACACATGGCTAGAAATCATGCCCAGGATTCATGTCCTTAAGTAAGCCAAATTATAAAAACAAACAAACAAACAAAAAAAAAAAACACTGAAATGACAGCTAGAGAGACTTGCCCATGCCTGTGGAATGCCTGATGTTGGCTGTGGAGCCCAAAGTGTACCTCGTGTTCATATAATAAGAAGACAGGGTGAAAATAATTAGAAAATCAAGTGAAATCACATGCAGAAGTCTTTTTTTCTTAACCTAGAAGCTCTAGTGAAATACCATAGCATGTTTTAGTTACTTGGGTCCACCCTGGGGAACCCAGGAGTCTGGAGGTCGGTACTGAATTCATTTATTTATCCGACCCTCTAAGATGCTAGTGCCATGATTCCATTTGCTCTGTAGAGCAACAGTACCAAGTACCCCACCATTGAGACAGATGCTCATTATCTGTGGAATAACACAGAAAGAAATTAAATGGGGTGCTACTTTTTCCATGGGATATATATTCACTGAACATAAGATTTCAGGACTACCATAGGCTTAAACCCAGGTAATCTCACTCAGAAATTGCAGAGGTGCATAGCAGGAATCCTCTCAGAGATCCAGAGTCCCACAAAAGTCAGCTACTGACTCTGAAAAACACTTCAGGTTTTCCTCATCTCGTTCATTCACACCTGAATTTATAGAATCCCTTAATGTCAGCATTGCAGTCCCTTTATTTAATGTGAGATATCACACCATTGGCAGAATTTTAAAGGGCTGAGAAAACATGTCCATCTTCACACCACTTTTCCATTTCCCACCTGCAAAGTCCTTTAAAGCTGCTACCTAAAATCAGTACTATGTCATATTCCAGAAGGATGGGTCTGGAATTCGGGTCTTGAGCTATGCATTCAGCTGCACTAGTTGTGTGAACTTGGACACTTAATTTTTCTAATCCTTTATTTCATCACGAAGGGGAGTTAAGATGAACTTAATAGATAATGCTCCACGTAAAATGCTTATCTCACACAAAAGCACTCAAGAAATGTGAACAATGACTATTCTTACTATTCACCTAGACCAGGCTCTGGGTAGGCGAGATGCCTCTGCAGCTTCCTGTGCTCACTACGGGTCACTGTGCTTAACGAGTCTCAAAAATTGCTGTCAATCCGACTTCTGCTCCAAGGCAGAAACAGTGACCCTTGTTAACTGTCTCCAGTAGAAAATAGTATATTTCTGGCTGGCATCTGGAGTCACCTGAAAGCCTAAAGGACTTACCTTGCAGGGAACATCTTGTGCTGCCCCTGGCTTTCAGCACATACTTTCTGCCGGTTCAGGACATACCCAGTGGTCAGGGCACTGGTGCCCAAGGTGGCAAATAGTAGAGAGGCATTGCGGCCAGTCAGCAACTTAGAGAAGGCACTGGCCATCCTTCCTCTCAGGTGGGTGTCTGAAAGTTAGAGAAAGTAGGTCAGAAAGCTACAAGGAAGGCCCTGAAGCACAGCTGAGAGATCAACAGGCAAACAAAAAATCTATAGATGTGCTTTTGTTTTCTTCCTTCCTTGTTCCTCCACCCCTTCAGACTGCTTGAGGAAATCTGAATTCCCCAAACATGCCATTTTCTCCAGTAGTAAGATATACAGGAAAAATGAACAGAACCAGAGGACTTGTACTTCTGGCTCTCTGATAGACAGGCACCTTCATGTTCCTGCCACTGTGCAACAACTGCACCCTGCATAGGGTGGGTGGTCAGGCTTACAGGGTTAGGGGATTCTCGAGAACCTGTCTCCTACTTTGCTGTCCCAAATGAGTTGGTGTCAGAGCTCAGGATAACAAACTAAGCAGTTGAGGTATCTTGAGGTGGATGCTCATCGAGCATAAGGTCAGGAAAAGAGCAGTGAGGTGGAGCATGGCATCTATGATCCCCCCACACACACACACTGAACTAGGTCCCTCGAGAGGGGCTGAACTAATCCAAGGTAGTATCCCCCAAACCTGGCTCCTAGGAAAAGCAGAGCCAAATCCTCTCTTTAGAGAAAGCACACTCCATTTAGACCCTGGTGTCCTACACATTAAGGTAAAGCGATGAGTTCTCAGTCAGCAATCCCTAAGCACACAGTGGGTAGAAGTCAGAGTCCATAGGAGAAATGGCCATAACTTTAGACTCCCAATGATTTGGCAGAAAAGAATGTAGACCAATGCTATGGGAATGTTTAAAGAAGTGATGGACTCAAAGGATGAGCAAGCAAAGGAGACTATTCAGGATGACCAAGCTGGTTTAAAAGAGATCCAGAACTAATGGATACCATGCAGTTGAAAATATAATAAATGAAGTGGAAGGTAGGTCTAAGGAATTACCCAGAATGTAATCTAGGAGGAAAAGGTAAAATATAACAGCCACGTAGGATAGAATGAAAATGTCAAATACACATTTTGATTGAGGAAGACTGGAGAAAATAAAAAAGCCATTTTTTTAAGAGAAATGACTGGGAAATTTTCCCAAAATGATGAAAGACAAAAAATTAATATATATCTTCACCTAAATAAATAAATAACTTCAAAATATTGGTAACAAAGATATCAAGACAAGAGAGTAAAGGTGGTTCATCTACAAAAAATAACAAAGTTAGCCAAGTTTTTTTCAACATTGAACAGCGGAAGCCAGAGAAATGAGGTCTTTAAGGGGCTTAGAGACAATAATTATCGTTTAGAATTGGGAACTTAGTCAAACTATCTTTCAACAATGATAATCAAAATGTAAGATTAAAAGCAGATAATAAAAAGGAGCTATAAATATATATCAATTATATATTGAATATGTACTTTAGAACATTAGAAGCAGGATAGCCTGAAATGCAGATAAAATGAAGAAAACATCTGTAAATCAAAATAAGTGCTTATATAATATCAACAGAGGATGAAAACCAGGATAAGCCCAGGTAGATACCTTCTATGTTTGCTGTTGCTCAGAGATTAGAATGGTCAATTAAGTTACACCATCTCTCAGCAGGAAGCTATTTATGTGAGGTGTTCTATGGAAAACAATAGAACTGGTGCCTCTAAGTATTCTCTCACTCTACTTGTTTATGTGATGCCCAAATAAAGGGAGTGTAGAATACCTCCCTCCCCCCAATATTTAGAAGGTTCTGGAAAACTGCTAAAAGCTTAGGTGGGTTGAAATGTTGTATAGAGCCCATTGGTATAGCTGGTTGTGGCTGAAACGCTGAGCTACCCAGTAGAGGATAAACCCAACTAAGATGATTTTGGCATGGTCTTACACAAAAGTTCTAATAAAGGTTCTAACAAAGGTTCATTTCTTCCTTGATTACATTGGGATCTGGGATCAGTCCACTCACTTCATGTTTCCAGGATCTCACTTGGAAGTCTCTGCTAAACATCTTTTTGAGCAATACTAGGGAGAAACTAGCATGTCTCGGCTACAAGTAGCAATATCCTTGAAAAAAATTTAGAAAGTTATTTTCTACATTATGCCAGGAAATTAGACTCTCAGGCAGGCTTTCCTTTATTCTAAATAGAAGATTAAAATTCCCTTAATTCTGAAGACAACAGGAATTATTTTAGACATCAACAGTTAAGATAAATGGGCTATTTCTTAAATTTGCCCAGGGACTTGGAATGATCCAACATAAACCACAGGGCATGATTTTGAGCTGTGGTCCACCTCCTTATAACAGTGGGTGAGCGTTCCTCAAAGCATTCCACCCATGCTTCCTAGCCTTTACATGCAACAGATGGCACACACCTTCAGGTCAGTATTTTGTTGTCACAAACTTCCCAAACAGAGAGGCAATGCTGTCTTCTTGTAGTCCTGCCATAAAACTCACCATTGCAAAAGAAGCATTGCTCAAATTCTTTCCAGGCTGGATAGCCCACAAATTAAGCCAGGACTTGGTTTTTCTAAGTTAACAGGAAGTGCATTAGTTTCTAAGGTTCCTAAGATGTCTTGATCTTTATTTTTACTTCTGCAATTTGTTTGAACAATGACATTGAGATCACATCAGAATCTCTTGGAGGTCATAAAACTTAAAGCAGAGTTAGGAGGAAAAAGACGGGATAGTGGCAATGTGTTGCCTGCCAACATCTTCCATGGTGGTCTTCCAAAGTCTTCCCTGTGGTGATGAGTTGTGGGTGGGTATCTGATGCAAAATAGTAATAACTGAAAAGTCATAATATGCATATTTTAGTCTCTGTAAAGAATATGTATTTATGTCCAAGAGTCCCAATTTGCACTGGTGCAGGATTCATGCCAATAATCCTCTGGATTCTTTGGTCATAGTGAGTCCAGCAGTCTGGAATTGAAATTATTTACTACTCTGCTTTGAAGTCTTGTACAGATTTGATACTCAACATATTGGTGAAGTAAAAAATTACTGCCTCTTTGACTCTGTTTTCTTTTTCTCTTTTAAGACACACAGAGACATTGGATTTCACTAATGAAGCCCTGATAGGTAAATGTGGGTGTGAGATTGAAACAGGATCTCATTGAAAAGCTAGTGACCACGGGAACAGTTCTATCACACTCTCCAAAGACCAGAGCCAGGTTTGCAACAAAATCACATTTCCTCATGACATAACTAAATCTTGGTTGTATGTTCAAAGTTAGCCTTTGAAAGTGTGCACAAGTAGAGCTTTGCTATGTCTTACAGATTTATCTGTCTGAAGGCTTCTCAGTAAGCTATATAGATATCACATAGGCACTATCTGCAACTGAAACCCCTGCTGAGAGGAGATTCAACCTGCTATTTGCTATATGATGGCATGTAAATAAGTCAAACTGGATAGATATTTTATAAGCTGTAAGCTGTATCCATTAATGTAATATTTGGCTTTACCTATTCCCCAACCACTGTGATTTTATAAGCCAATGTATCTTGTGAAGTCAGTGAGACAGAAGTTTGGGGCATAAAGAAATGAGTACCCTAGCAAAACTTCAAATGTGTTGATTCCCTCTATGTCATGAGCATTAGTGGAAGATACTGAACTGTTGTGCTAAGAGATCATTGGATGCAATCATGTTTCTCCCTGGTACAAAGACTTGAGACTCCAGACATTATGGGCTTCATTCCTGCAGCAGTAGGTGCTCTCGGTGAGGCTAGGGAAGGACAATGCAATGGCAAGCTATTCTGAACTGGAATCGAACGTGTTCATGATGTGGAAGTGAAAGATAATAAAAAAAATCAAAGATGAGTGAAATTTCTGGGCATGTGAGCACGTCCCAACGGTAGATGCTGTAGACAGCGGTACATGTGAGCTGTCTGACAGCCTGACAGCTAGACTCATCACTGGGTCCTGACCTGTAGGATTCCTTGCGTGTTACCAGCTGACCAGACTCAAGGTGCTCTTCCCTCCAAACTGACTGTCCTGCTTCAACTTTCCAATCCATGCTGGCCCCTGTGACTCATGGCCTAGAGGGAAGGTGTGGTCATAGGGTTCCTCATTTCTGCCCAGAATCAGCACAGAGCCTGCTGGAAATGCAGGTAGCTTCATACCCTAAGGATTTCCTTGGGTTCCTCTCAACCTCCCAAGAAGCTCAGAGGGAGTTACTCTCCCAGACTTCCACTGTGTGTTTCTACTCCAATAGTATTTTCACAAAAAGGAGAAAAGAAGAAATGGGAATCACTGTGTGCCTGCTACCACAGGCACCTCATATGCTATTGTCCCCATTTTGGAGATGAAGTTAGACCTCTGCCAGCCAGATTCATGACTTTGCTGGGACCATGTCGCTAGTGAGTGGCAGAGAAGGAATATGAAGGGACATCTCTCTGACTCCACATCTGCCACAGCTATGCAACGTCTATCAACTGACAGATTCCGGGTAGCTCGGGAAAAGCTCTGAAAAATCAGAATTTCCACTGCTAACTTATGTTATGACCTCCCTTTTTTGTATAATCATAATATCAAAAAATATTGTAGCAACATCAGTTTGTAACTGGATTGCCTTAGCTCTAGATTGGCTGCTGGCCTAGGCAAAGTACAAGCTGAGCGGCTCCTGGCAGGAAATTCCTTTGACTGAAGACAAGGGGCAAGCTCCTGGAGAGATAAGACCCCAGAGCATTAAGACTCCTGGAAAGCTTCTTTGGTCTTTTTACAAAAAGCAATTCTTAGATAACTCCCAGGGCATAAGGACCCATGGACAATTTCCTAACATTATCAACACAAGTTTTGCTAAATGCAAAACTATGTGACTTCCTCTTAATTTACTCTTTTCTTAAAACAATCACTAACTACTCTCTGCTAGTCTTATTTAACCTCTTCCTAAAACAAACACTAGCTACTCCCTGCTAACCTTAAGTTAGCCATTAGCTTCTCTTTAGACTATCACTGACAACTCTGCTAACACAATTTATTCCTTCCCTAGGAAGGACCCCTAAATCCTTTGCTAACAGCTCATCCTTTCCCAGACCCTGATCCTTTAAGGTCATAGTTAAA